GGGTAGGGGGCGGAGAAGGAGTATGTTGGTTCGGTGGCAAAAGGAGTTCGGGAATGTCTAAAGTCGAGACTTTTGAAGTTGCGCAAGGGGGGGAGGGGGGGGGGGGGGGGAGGAGGAAGAGAGAGTGGGGTATTGGCGATCAATTGAGGGGGGGCGGATGTCGGACTGGTTGGATCGGGGAGAGATGGTTGGCAAGTGGGAAAAGGGTGAGGGGCTGGTGAGACAGGATTCAGAGTGCGTTCGGGTGAGTGATTCAGAGTAGGATAAAAAACTGGAGTATCTAGAAGGGGAAGTGATGGGCTTGTCGACAGGGGTGAATACTAAGGAAAAGGATTGAGAATGTTAGGAGGAATAATGTTGAAAAGATCAAGAGATGGGAAGGGGATGATGGAGTAGAGGAGCGGAAAAGTTGGGGCAGAGAGTAGGCGAGGGTGTTAGTAAAGAGACGGTCGTTTCTCACTTGTCGAAGGCTTGCAAGTTTGTCGGGGCTGGAGGTGATCCCTTCAGTAGACGCTGCGTCTTCGAAGATGATTTTTGCGATGGAAGTTGTCGGTTGCGGCGAGCCTCTCGGAGACGATGGATATTGCTACTCTTGATCGCGTCGACAATCAATGCCGGAGTCTCATCACCCACTTAGCCGCGCCCGAGTGGCGCAACAGGAGAGACTCTCCTCCTTCGTATTGATTGCATATGGCGGTTATATTAAGAACAACTCGGCCGCACCCGAAGGGCGCGGCAGAGGAGACGCTCCTTCACAGCGATGGTGGGAGATTCTTGGATGAAGACACGTTGACTATGGTGCGAAAAATTTTTGGCGCTCGCCACTTCTTCGACGAAAAAGCGCGCGGGCGGGAGCGCTGCCCGGGCGGTGCTTGCGCAAAAAACTCTCCGCGTCAGTCCGGTTCCTATTCCCCCGGCAAGTCAAAAGATTACAACATTTTACCCACACAACGCTTCCTTCCATCTGGCCTAAGGAACCCTGACCAGCATTGATTACTCCTAAGGAGGATTGACTGGCAGCTTGCCCTGACCACTTATTTCTCTCAGGCTTCTATTTGAATGAATCCCTGCAATGCGAGAAAAATGGGGGGGCCCGCTCAGTGTTCTGCGAACATCTGTGCGGTGGGGAGACGAAGTCGTGGATGGGGTTGTGGTTTTGTTCAGCGAGGCGGTCTATGGATGGGCCCTTGCGGAGGAAAGATGCAATGGCTTCCATTATGAACAGGAATATAGGGGGTGTGAGGGGGTCACCTTGACGGACCGATCTCGATATCAGATAGGTTTCTTACAGTATTTTGTTTATCTGCACCCTGCCCGTGGCATCCCCATAGAGTACTTTTACCCACTCTCTGAAGTTTGGGCCGACTCCCATCTTCTCCATACAACTGTGTAGGAAGTCTCAATTGACTTGAACGTAGGCCTTTTCGAAATCGAAGAATAGGATCGCCACTTGCATCCGTTTTTCTGTGATCTTCTTTGCAGCTTCGTTTAGATCCATCACATTGTCCAAAATATATCGACCCGGAACGAAGCCTGCTTGGTCGATGTGAAAGCATTTGTCCGTTAGTTTTATGATTATGTTTGCTAGTGTCCTTGCTAGGATTTTGTAAGGTGTTGTGAGAAGTGAGATTGGTCTCTAGTTCTTAAGTTCCTCCTTGTCGCTCTTCTTGTATATTAGTGAGACTACGCTGGTGCTTAGATATTGACCCAGGTCTGTTTTTCCCTGTTGTCATTAATAAAGTTCAGGAGGTCGTTTTCCGGTGTGGGCCAGAACTGGATCCAGAATTCTTTGAACAGGCCATCGATTCCTGGTGCTTGGGACAAGGCAGCGTGCAGTTCCCCTATGGTGATTGGTTTGTCCAGGTCCTCTGTTTGTTGCTGGTTGATTGTTCTCTCTGGGAAGGTCATCATGTGCTGACGGGCGTTGATGTTCGCTGCCTGGGGGGGGAGGTAGTTTTGGACTCGTAGAGGTCGGCGTAGAAAGATCTGGCTATTCTTACCATGTTTGTACTAGATGACTTTGTCTTCCCCCGGTCTGTTGGGTCCTTCAATCTCTCGATCATGTTGTTCCTTGCATTGGCCTTAATTCTGGAGAAGAAAAATTCGACTCGTTCAGGGCGTAGTCGTTCATTCGGGCGCGTATTTGTAGGCCCTTGAGTTCCCATCTTCTCCATTCATTTAATTAATCCTTGGTAGATTGTAGTAGGTCATGATAGAAGGAGTTGGCAGGATTTGATGTGAGATTGGTTTCAGCGATGTCAAGAGCAATTTGCAATTCTTCCTTCCTGATTTTGCGTTCAACTGCTATGCTTCTAGACTCTGCTGAGACCGTCTGAGATAGGTCCGTATAACTGTCTATGAACCACTTGTGCCTGTTCTGACGTTTCATCTCGTCTTGTTGTAAGAAAGCCCAGTTCCATCTGACTGCCTCTGTCATGCGATCTGTGGAGAGAAGTGGGTTGTCGAGTCTGAAAAAACCTCGCCCTTTTCTCTACCGGAGAGTTGAAGTTGAGGAGCAGGTAGGTCGGTTTGTGATCGAGCTCCTTGAAGGCAGCTACTGGTAGGATATCGGACTCCTTGATTGCTCCCTGCAAGTTGATCCGTGATAAAGATGTGTGGGTAGATCGGTTTCTTTTGAATAGGGAGAAACCTTTCTTGCGTGGGTGGAGGATTCGAAAAGGGTCTATCAGATCGAACTCCGTCATGATGTTTCTCAGGTGTGTGCTCGCTCATGTGGGTCCCAGAAGCGTTGCCCGGGAGATGCGGTCCAGGCTGGGATCCATCGTGGTGTTCCAGTCGCCTGCAATGATTAGCTGTGGGGGGTTCGGGAAGAGTGATTTGATGTGGTCAAAGAAAGCTAGGCGTTCGGTTTCCGTGTTGGGGGCGTATATGTTCAGGATCCTGATCTCTTCCTCTTGCCATGTGATTTGGATCCATGACCATCTTCCTTCCGCTGTGTCGCCTTCGCCGTTTCTTACCTGTCCTCCTGACCAGATTTTGGATGTAGTTGGTATAAGGATCGTTGTGTCGCGGTTGCTTTGGTCCGCTTTGTTGAACCACAGTGTAAAAGGGCATCCACCTAGGCTTTTTTCCACGGTCTTCTTGATTCTGGTGTGGTTGGTGAGGTTTGATAGATGAGTCTCTTGTAGAAGGATGACATCGGGCTTGGGCTTTCTTTTGTCTGTGAGGCCGAGTCTGATGTCTCGTAGTTTGTCGTCTTCATCGAGAATGTTACCCAAGCCGTTGGCGTTCCATCTGTCTATCAGTCCTTTGGCTTGCCAATCTACCCTCACTGTCCCAGACTGATCCTCGTTGCAGTCCATTTGATTTCGTCTGGCAGGGTGCTGTGTTCAGATTGATTTTTATTTATTTATTTATTTTTTCGGTTGGGATGGGCGTTTGTTGGGCAGGGTTGATAATTGGAGGTTCGATATATTTAGGCCACAGCGGCATAGGTTTTGGGGCTGCCCCGCTCAGAGTCCTCACTGTTCTCGCTGCCCTCGCTGATCTCTTTCCCTGGCACGGAGCTCAAGCTGTATGCCCCCACGCTACCGTCGGACAACGACGTGGCTCCAGTCCCTGCTCCTTCCGGGGAAATCCCGTCAGCCACCCCGTAGTCTTCGTCATCGGCCATACTTCCCTCGTTGTCGTCGGGCTCCACGTAGAGCGCCGTGGCTTCGTCTTGCAGGGAGTGCTCTGTGATGAGGATGTGGAACCTGATAATGGAGGCCAGGGAGACCGCCATGACCTCTGTCGGGCACATCTTACCTGCAAGAGTGTTGTACGGCAGCGCTGTCACAGTGTTCCACGCTCTCCATACCAGTCCTTCGTGTAATCTGGCTTTCTCATCCAGTTTTACTATGATTGGCTCGAAGGACTTGGCTGTGTCAGGGGCCTGGCCTGTTTCGTCTTCATTATCTGCATGGGCCACTGGGACTTCATAAGCGTCCACAGGGAATTCGTCTGAGATCCCTTCTTTCATAGTTCTTGCCAGGGACCAGCCGATTGGATTTCAATTTTTTCCTGGTCTGGAAAGCTCAACTTCGGCCCCAAGGTACAAACGAAAATGGGGGACCGTACTGGGGGTGTACTGTTGCACCATTCCAGTCCTTTCTCTCCCTCCAGTCTAATTTCGAGGTCCTCTGACAAGTACTATTTCTGTTAGCTGAAGCTGCCTTGTGAAATCACCAATGCCTATTGGAATTTGGCAGGGGTGGTTTGCCATGACCTGTGGTAGAACTGGTTCATCAGGTTGAAACAAAGACGACAACTGCTATCTGTCAAACTCACTGATCCCCCTACATGCTTGCTCATGATGCGACACTATGCAAGGTGCAGTTGTGCGCAACTGTTCTTTGGGGAACCACCTATCCTCCTCTGGGTCTTTGTATTGCAATCGGACTCTAAGCTGTTGACGTGGTCTCCCCCGTCTACTGGTCCTAAGTTCAGCCTGAAGTTCAGCCTGATCTATGATGCAGTTAATACCATCAGGCACAAACTCCTTGGGCTTTACCCAAACTAAATCACATGTCGTGACCTTTGAAGTTTTGCAACGTTTGTTAGACTGGTTTACCATCTTGAATTGTGCATGCCTGATATCCTCAGTAACTTGCCATAGGTCGTTCTCATACTTCAGTGCAAACTTACAGGTTTCGGGTGGTAATCTCTATTTGATCCCAGTATAGTCCGTCTATAGGTCTTTGCGGCTTCCACCCCTTGTGCAATTCATGAGGTGTTCTGTTAGTGGACAGATGCACGGAGTTATTGTATACACTCGCTACCTTAGGAAGGTGTTCATCGCCACCTACCTGATCCGATTTAATATACATATGAAGGGTATGTTGCAACAATTTACTCGTCTGCTCCGTGTTACCGTTAGTCTCGAGTTGTCTACATTACGATATGGTTAGTGCCACTGTGTTTCCTGCAAATCTAACATCTCTATCATTAACTATGGCCAAAAGATAACCATTATCCCTGACCCAATGTGCAAATAACTTATCGATTAGAAAATCTGTTTTTGCTACTGCTGCTAAAGGAACGAGTTTTGCATACTTGCTAAACTGGTCCACTATGACCATAACTTGTGTATTCATCCCATGGTAACCCCTGACCCGGATACCGGACACTTCCAGACTGTCTTCCGGACCAGTGTCTGGACCGGTCCGGACTGTCCAGTGATCCGGACATTACCGGACACCCGGACATTACCGGACCCGGACAGTCCAGACCGGTGCCGGGGGTGCAAAAATGTCCGGAAAAAAAAAGAAAAAAA